ATCAAGATCGCCGCCGACGGTCTCGACCAAGCCATCGCAGGTTCGCGTCTGCTTGTCGTCGGTCCGAATGACGACGAGGAAGATCTCATGGACGAGGTCATGGGTGATCTAGCCCATTTGCTCAGCAAGGTTTCCAAGACTGGTCGCGGTGTCTCCGTACAAGCGTCTACCCTTGGTTCGCTCGAAGCTCTCCTTGAGTTCCTGCGTGTATCCAAGATCCCTGTCGCCACCATCTCCATCGGTCCTGTCTTCAGAAAGGACGTCCTTCGTGCAGGTATCATGTTAGAAAAGGCCAAGGAATACGCTGTCATGCTGTGTTTCGACGTCAAGGTCGACAAGGACGCCAAGGCATACGCAGAGGAAATCGGTGTCAAGATCTTCGAAGCTGACATCATCTACCACTTGTTCGACAAGTTCACAGCGCACATGAAGCAGCTCGAGGAACAGCGGAAGGAAGACTCAAAGATGTTGGCCGTCTTCCCCTGCGTACTCAAGCCCGTTGCTGTCTTCAACAAGAAGGATCCCATCATCATTGGTGTGGATGTCACTGAAGGCGCACTCCGAATGACAACGCCCATCTGCGCCGTCAAGAAGAACGCCACCACCGGTGCCAAAGAGCTCGTTCATCTAGGAAGAGTGTAAGTTGTCCTATTCCTTCCCACTCCATCCCACATCACCTTACCACCTTACTAATCCTTTTCAACAGCACGTCCATCGAGCGCGACCACAAACCCATGCAAATCTGCAAGCGAGGCCAGCCTTCCGTTGCCGTCAAGATCGAAGGCTCCAACCAGCCCATGTACGGTCGCCATCTGGAAGAAGACGATATCCTTTACTCTGCTATTAGCAGAAAGAGTATTGATACGCTCAAGGAGTACTTTAGGAGCGATGTTAGTCAGGATGAGTGGAAGTTGATTGTGCAGTTGAAGAATGTGCTTGATGTGCAGTAAGAAGTGGTGTAGGTGTGGATGGGGGCTTAGGGGGATGTGAGAGAGTGGAGAGGTGGTGGTGGTTAGATGGTGGTAGTGTATGATTTTAAAGTCTATTTAGTGTGTGTTTGACCACTGTCTTGTGGTTTCTTTTTTTCTTGCCTTTCTAGGCGCGAGGCAATAGCATTTGTTTGGCGTTAATAGTGCAACATATTCATCTAAACTCTGCTTTTCGCAACTGGACTTTCCTTTTTGCATTGCGGGTAGGATAACTTGATATGCTCACTCAGGCTCTCGACAACATCCCGTAATTGGCACCGTCAGCAAGCCTGCTGCGCGCATGGCGATTTGGCTTGGAAGACCCTGCTTCTCTCCATGTCTTGCTTCTTGGCCCTTTGCAGGTGGCTATCTGCCACTGATCCGTTCCGGTGATGTCAATGATGATCGCTCCAGACGTTGCGCTCTGGGTTAAACGCCCTGGCCTCATGCTGAAGAGACCTCCGCTGGTATTCTCTCGATGTTCTCCTTTCAACTTGCTCAAACTCCGATCATCCTCTTCGTCGTCGCTGAAAACTGGCTAGACCAACATGGGGCAGCGGTGCAGCATGCCAGATACCTCCACTGGGGAAGTTTGGAGTGCATGCCGAGGTTTGCATAGCTGTCGTAGGGAGACATGGCAACGATCGCAACGGCTTTGTCGTAATCGGGAACTGGACGTCTTCAACAACTTTGATCTTGATTTGGGATTTTGCATCGAGCTTGGTGGGTGGAGGGATGGATTCGGTTGGGGATGATTTGGGCGACGCGTCCTTGGTGAGTGATGGGAAGAGCGCGCGCGCGATCTCGAGCGATAGGACTGAGGACATGGTGAATAGAGAACTCTTATAAAGACTTCTTGTCACGCAAGTCACGAATGCGCAAACGTAAATTGGAGTTGAGTCGTTGCTATCGTTCAGAGATGTTGAATTTCATCACGACATGCACCAGCGCGTAGTTATACATGCTCGTAGCGTTCTCGTGCTGCTTGCGCAAGTTTGCGATTACGCAGGCGACGCAGTGGCTCAGTCAAAGTTTTCGCAATCTTACCTTCATCCATCGTGAGCGTCGTGGTAGATGAGCCTCTACGGACGCGTGGGGGAGTGTTGGTGGTGTTGGTGTTTTGGCGCGATTGGCTGGGTCGGACCTGCGATTAGCGGGCGCAGTACTGCAGGATCTACCAGGAAGGATCGCCATAGGCTCCAGCGATGTCTTTTGGCAAAGGTTGTGAGCCTTTATTCCCTCCCTATCCTTCGCTCCCCACCCCCGGCGTAACTTTTCTTCTTGTTGCGATAGTCCGCGATTCTAGGTGGGTTGGGTGTGAACGCGTCTACGGGGCTCAGGCAGAATCACTTCGGCGAGGAGTCAGGGCTTCCAGCTCAGACCGCTGCGACGACATGCGCTGCTGATTCGCGACACGCTGTTCGAAACTATGCTGCAGATTTTCATCAGAGCGCGACAAGAGCTAGGATCCCGGCCATGTACATGTCCTTCGTCATCGCGTTCCCAGCTGTCTGGAAACAACGAGATCTGCCTGGCCGCGTGCTCTTCGGCGACCGAAAAGAATAACAACTCTCGACTATGTGAGCGCATTTCTCTACGCGCATCAAGAAGTTACCTGGTATTCTTGTGATCATTATGAGCAACTACAAAATGTTGAGATCGAAGAAAGGACGTCATCATGCTCGACTCGCCAGTGTAGCGCCCGGCACGGTCCCGAACTTTAGCTTCACACGATCCACAATTTCAGCCGCATCTTGATCTCGAACAAGCTCACCATGCCGATTCTTGGAAAGATCTGAGCCAGGATCGGCCATGTACAGTTTCGATACCTACCAATCCTGATCGTAGAACTCTTTGTCCATATCTGATCAACGCCAAACTAACACACAAGCGGCGATCATGCCGTCTGTTCAGAACATCTGCTTATCGGAATCTCATCAGGGTGGGTCATACTAAGATCGTGGCGCGAGCGCCTCTGTCATGTCCTGCGAAAGTTCTGTCGAAATTTTGCCAGCTGTTGCTTCTCAAGTTACAGTCTGGTGAAAAGCACACGGCATGGCTCTTCCGAATGCTTCACGACCCGTTTCCTGGTCGAATACTACAGCAGCATCGACAAGACCACCAAGTCCCGTCAACATCGAAAAGGACCATGACAAAAGTCGCCAGCCGTCGACCATAGCAGACTTCAATCCAGGCATCGATCCTGAGAAAGGCCATCCACCGAATGCAGGTCAAGAAGCAACACCAAGCGCTCCTCATGCCTCATCGCAAGATCGTCCTTCCGCGCTGGAGTGGGACGGTCCAGACGATCCTCTCAATCCTCACAACTGGAGTGCAGTGCGAAAGTGGTATCAAACATACACAATATCAGGCATCGCATTCGTAGGAACCTTCGCATCATCTGTCTTCACACCCGCCATCGAACAATCAGCATCAGACCTCCACTCCACCCAACTCATCGCAACCTTTGCATACTCTATATACGCTCTCGGACTCGCTTTCGGTGGACCATTCGCCGCGCCTCTGAGCGAGACATTCGGACGGCGACCCCTCATCTTCATTAGCCTGCCCATCTTCGCGCTCTTCATCCTCGGAACGGGTTTCGCACAAAGCATGGCAAGTCTGGTAGTGTTGAGGTTCTGGGCTGGTTTCTTCGCTGCTCCAAGTCTGAGCATGGGGTCGGGCACCCTGAGCGACATCTGGCCGCCTGAGAAGCGGTCTGGTCCCATGTCGCTGTATGTCGCAACACCGTTTATGGGCCCAGCTTTAGGACCTATTCTAGGTGCTGCGGTAACAAAGACGCGTGGTTGGCGCTGGACGTCTTGGTTGATACTCTTCTTCACCATTGTGCTTGTCATTGCGCCTGCACCGTTTTATAAAGAGTCGTATAAGCCAGTCCTCCTACGTCAGCGCGCGAAGAAGCGGAATCTTCCTCTGCCGCGGTCGCCGACTGAAGGCATGTCGTTGCCGAAGATTGTGAGCACATATGCCACGAAGACACTCACGCGGCCGATGCATATGCTGCTCACCGAGCCGATCGTCGCGACCTTCAACACATACAGCGCTTTCAACTTCGGCTTGCTATACGCCTTCTTCGCCGCCTTCCCGTACGTCTTCGCAACAGAATACGGCTTCGATAGTATCTCGACAGGCTACACGTTCCTTGGTCTGGGTGTCGGCGTCATCGTCGCTACCATCTGCATCGTTTCATTCAGTAAACTTTACTACCTGCCCCGCGTACGGAAAGCGATTGCAGAGAAAACACCAGCACCGGCTTTCGCAACATCACGACTAGCACCCGAGAAGCGCTTACCCCTCGCATTCGCCGGCGGGCCCATTTTAACTATTGGCCTCTTCCTCTTCGGATGGTCGGCCGCTTACCGCGTCCATTGGATTGTACCGACTATCGCGGAAGCGTTTTTCGGAATGGGAAATATGCTTATTTTCATGGCGTGTATGATGTATATTACTGATACCTATGGGCCGCTCTATAGTGCTAGTGCTATGGCTTCGAATGCTATATTGCGATATGTACTTGGCGGTACTTTTCCTCTCTTCGCAGTCCAGATGTTTCGGAGGTTAGGGCCACAGTGGGCGTGTACGTTGCTGGGGTGTTTGAGTATTTTGGGGGCGTGTATACCGTTTGTGTTGGCGAGGTATGGGGAGGTGTTGAGGAGTCGGAGTGGGTATAAGAGAAATGGGTAGATTTTGGATGAAGTTTAGCGTAATACTCCATGAATGATAATGCAACAGCGTCTAGCGAGCACCGAGGAGTGCGATTCAGAGCCCAAGATTTACAGTTTAAAGTCACATGGTGTGCGACATTGGTATTGTCGATGATCTCAAGCTGAGAGTTAGCGGCAGTGGACTGTTTTAGAGGAGAAGTAATTTCTTAGGAGACAAGATGTTACTAGTATACCACCAAGGACTACATAGACATGTTTTTGAAGGAAAAGGACGTTCTTCTGACATGTTGCTAGTAAAGACCGTGATTGCAGCACCCAAACACACAACGCCTGACGAAAACAATCCTCACTCCTCCATTCCTTCCTCCACGGCAAGAAACTCATCCCAAGCTTCGTTTGGTCCGTCATCCACATCATCGACGAACGGATCGAATTGAGTTTCATGGTCGGGTTGCAAAGTGATGCTTTGCGGGTTGTCGATGTGTGTGGTTGTCGGTACGGTTGTTGGTGCTTTGGCGTCGTAGTCGATGGCGCCGTGGGAGAGGAGGAGGTCGACGATCTCGTTGTGATTGTAGAGTTTTGCAAAGTTCAACGCTGTGTGCTTCCAAGGGTCTCCAGTCTTCTGGTTTACATCGACATCTTTGTGCTGAAGAAGCAGTCTCGCAGCTTCCAATTTGCCGTTTCGAGCAGCATACATCAGAGGACTTCCAAAATATCCCACACATTTGTTCACATCGATGTCTGGGTGGGCTAGCAGAACTTCGATGACTTCGCAGTCGCCCTTGCTAGCAGCGACATGAATAATAGTCTTTAACGTTCCGGGTAATATTTCGTTCGGACCTCCAAAGTCTGGACGTTTGAGAAGTCTGTGAAGCAAATCTTCTTTGGTGAACGAGAGACTTGTTGGCGAAACATCAGATGATATGCAATGACCGTCTCTCAATGACTCCGAGTGTTTGAGAAGGAAAGAAGCTGTTTCCCAGTGCCCATTGGAGACAGCATAGTGCAGAGGTGTTGCCTGGTATTTGTCTCGGCAATCAACATCAACACTTGGATGGCGGATGAGCTGCTCCACGATCGATGTATGCCCATTTGAGGCGGCTATATGCAGTGCTTGTCGAGAGAAATTTGTCTCCGATGTTTTGTCGACGCGATCACAAGCGATGAGAATTTCCATAACTGACTTTCTTCCAAGCGAGGCCGCTGAATGTATTAGGGCGCGGTTGCCCCTATATATCAGGTTTACGTCGACGTCTGGGTCGTCAAGTAGCGTGGCTACGAGTAAGCTATGGCCTGTATGTACTGCAAATTGAATTTTCTTTGAAGCTTTTCGGTCTTCGAAGTCGTCGCCCAGGCGCCTGATATAAGCATTGACGATAGTGATAGTGCCTGATCGTATCATCCAACTTTCCAACTCTTGAGCCATATCCAAAAGCACTTTCTGTGTGACACGCTCAAAAAAAGGCTCTACGGCATTGCAGTGCCCACTGAGAATAGCCTCGTGTATCGACAATCGTTTCTTGTCGTTTCTCAAATCAACACTTGCACCCCTCATAAGAAGGTACTCGACTGCCGCTGCTTGGCCAGCTCTAGCAGCGCAGTGTAGAGCAGTAGATTGATCATCCGCCTTTGTGTCCAATGATATGCCCGAGTCTAGGAAGACCTTCAGCATAGCCACATCTCCTGATGTGGCTACTCGCATAAGGTTCGCTTTACTGTACAGCGGTGCGTCCGCGGAAACATCAATTTGGGTCTCGTCGCAAATCTTGACCGGCGCTTCCAAGAGCCCGGACTGGTGCTTTTTCTTTCGATGCCTTTCGAGGTTATCTTTGCGATTGGATGTGAATGAACAGCGCTCAACATGGCAACGATACTGTTCATTGCCCGTGCGGTGTCTAGATTTGATGTGACGACCGAGGTCCACACGGAGTGCGAAGCCCTTGTTACATGTTTCGCAGATGAAAGGCTTGGTGTGTGTTCTCAGATGCTTGCTGCTCTGCGTCAGCTGCGGCTAAGTGGGCTAAAGCGCACTGGCTTACTTCAACTTCCCCAGTGTGTCTATATTCTTGGAACAGGTAGGACACACAAACTTATCGAAGGTCATCTTGATGTTTGTGGCATGCTGATACTAGGCCCTTGGTTTATATCTTCATCTACCTAGTTACATTTGACGCCCCTGGACCCGCAGCCAGTCTACCTACGTAGTGTCTGACATTTCAGACGAGGCTAATAGCTTAGGCGCCTGAGGTTTCTTCCAGGGGCACGTAGGCCACATGCTATTGGTTTCGTAGCCGGTTCCATGTAGCCTCTTAATCTACCGCTTCCCTCGACCTCGCTATCATCAATGCACATCCCCAACAGCAACTCATTCCGTACTATCTCAGTATTCTGAACTCACTCTCCGATACCCTACCAAGTCCCTTTGTATCCTCCACGAAAACAAAGATCTCGAGACGGCCAGCCACCGCATTATCACGATGTCGCAGCACTTTTCTGGAACGGTCCCCGAACGCGACTGCAACGACTCCCCAGCGTTTCTGGCAGACGGCAAAGAAAATCACCAGGAATTTGAGTAGGTCACGTTTTTTTTTAACATCATGTAGGTATGCCTCCTCGACGGTAAGGGGTATTCAGGCATCAGGCAACCTGCTCTTCGGCAACGAGTTTAGCCCATCCTTCGTGCCCTCCCATCAGCCAATTGCCGATCACGACCACGCCCTCTTTCCTCAACAAGTCGCACAGGCCTATGGGGACTTTCCGCATGCGCATGCAGGACATGATGCTGGCCCGCAATACCCCTGTCAGATCAACCTCTGGAACGATCCTGCCTTCGATGCCTACCACTTTGGAGGTATCAACCCTGACGCTGCGCTCTATGGCACCCCATCAAACTTCCCGTTTGATGGCACTGGAGTGCAATCGATCTTCCCGATGGCTCCTATGTTACCTGTCTGGGACTCCAATAACATCCAGGACTTCGATCAGTCAAACATGTCCATCCCAGCTGGCGCTCAGCTGAACCCAGCGCCCTATTCAGAAATGGTCTCAGCCCCGCCAGCCCCGGTCCCTGCCCCTGCTCCTGCTGCAGCAGACCGCATCCACTGTCCACGTGGATGTTCAGCAACATTTGGTCGCGGCGGAGAGTATCGTCGCCACATGATGATTCACGAGCGCCCCAGGTACAGATGCCCCATGGTCGATTGTCCTAGGACGTTTTCTCGCGCAGACAAGCTTCGCGATCATGCCAAGAGGGGTCACGGAGGTCGCAACCCTCTGAACTTGTCGTGAATTTATGACCCTGATCCTGTCCTCACGAACGTTTTCTCTAGTAACGCATGTCGGTCTTTACAGTCTTGTCGCTGCTTATTGCTACACTCGTTACAGCGAGCTTTTGTTGCTCTTTTTGATTTCTAGTTAAGTCGCTCCTTGATAGTTCTAGTTGATGAAATACCAGTCTCTCCTTAACTTTGCCATCCCCATCGTGAGAACAATCCCCAACCTCATCGCTCCCACAGAGCCTCACTTCGCCCCCAAAGTGCCCAGACTCCGGTGAGCCGTGGCGTTGACACGTCAATAAGCCACATCTATTAAGGGCACACTCGTCCAATCGCGAACAGAAAGGCTGCAGGTGCCATGGTCATCCATGCGCAGTCTATCACGCGTGTTGTTGTACGTCGAAGGGCACGCACGTCCAATGATAGAGTGACGAGAAGTGGGGTCGATGCTGAGCTGGCGGGGCGAGGGGCACAGTGGCGTCGCTAGCGCGATTGGGAGGGCATGTGGCTGTCGGGTCGCATGTCTCCTCAGATCCGTGGGATGTGGGCGCGTTGGTTGCGTTTTGGGGCTTCTAAGGAGAGAGCGGAGGTAGCCTGTACACGAGGAGTGAATGAAGAGAAATGGCCTCCTTCACTGATCCAAAAAACCTGCACCTCTTGGACATTCATGCAACAAGCAAGCTAGACCCGTTGCTTGAAACTTGCGACCACGCACCTTCTAGTATCAAGAACACTTGAGTTAGGGACAATTCACTAAGGAAGGGTGACTTCCTCGTCGACATTGCTGGCCTTATTCATCCCATGACCACAACGTTTGGAGAAAAGACGACTGTAATTGCTCTTTTGAACAGATCGCTCGTGCTGGAAACTGGCATACTACCCGTCGCGATGCGTAGCGTTCTCCAACTGTGTGAAATACGCTATGAACCAATACGTGCAGCCAAGTAGTCATAATTCCAGTCATGCCAAGCTCGTAGCCTACGCTGAGAAAACTCATTCGCGAGCAAAAGCATCATCCATGCTGAAATATTCGGCGCGGCCGTTTGGACTTTGCTGCGCTCTTCGAGCTCTTCCCAGATCGCTCTGACTATATTCAGACGTCCATCACGTGTGACGTCCATATTTCCTAACAGCAAAGCGAGAACGCATGCGCTGAGGCTATTTTCAGCGCCGTCCAGCATGTCCGAGGCGAGTCGATTCCGAAATCGGCATACTTGTCCGAAGATTGCTATGCGGTCTGCCACCACCTGGTTGTCGCAGTCCTGAATGGAACTGAATACTGAATAACAGCCCCAGTTACCTATTGAGGCGTAGTCCCAGGAAGTAGCAAAATGGTCGTAGAATTGTGCTCTACCCAGCATCGTCCATTTCACCTCGCTATTGAAATACACCGACTTGGTCACGTCCATTTCGTGATTGCGAGAGAGGCCGTTGAAGTATTCGGTGTCGAAACAGAGATCTTTGCCTATCATGTGGAGGTGCACGTTTTCTGATATCTTGGAAGACACTTCGACAGGAATAAGCAAGAATAATGCCCAGGAGCATCTTTTTTCCTGGAATGTCCATGTCCGGCGGAACCAAGCATCTTGTGTAATGGACATAAGCAGTTCGGTGGCCTCCTGGACTCGCTCTTCAAACGTGCTGACATAGCTGTCAATCACTGGAGAGTCTTCAGAAGTCTCTCCTTTCGTAACATTCTCCTTGAGTTCATAGTCGTGATAGAGGTATGTAATCAGATGTTCCAGAGAACGATGATCCGTTATCGGATGAGACAGTGGCGCCACCGTCCACTTGCTCTCTTTGTATACTCGATGCATGACTTTCAGATGTGCCTGAATATCTGTAGGATCTGTCTGTTTAATGCATTCTTGATCAATCCAAACGAATGCACACTTGCGAGATCTAGCAAACAGCATTGCGCGATGAAAAATTAAGTTCGGACAGCCGATAGGCGTAGGCTCGACTGCCTTCGATCTGTCCGATATATGATAGTGCGGTAGTGGTGACAGGCCTTCCATAGATTGTGTATGCTTCCAGCAGTAGGACACAGTGATGTACGCCATGCCATCGGCATGTTCCTCTGGTATCGTGAGCCGGTAGTCGTTGTAGCCATCGTCTGCAAGCCATCTCTCGACGGACACAGGCGTGATGAAACGAAGTCTGAGTGGCGTGTTCTCTGGGACTCTATAGAGTGCCAGATCGAGAACCTTCTCAATCTCTTCGTGAAGAGCCTCCGGGGTACTGTATATCTCGTTCAAAGGTAGATGGTCGTCGCGCTGCATGTTCGCGAACAGGAAACACAGATTGACAGATTGTCATTATCTGGGGAATTCGCGATCTTAAGGCCTAAAACGCTCCCTAGGCTCTTGAACACATGTGGGTGCTGTTGATGAGAAGTGAGTTGCGGATGTGCAGTGGTTTGTTTGGGTGCCATGAACGACTCCAAAGGATATAGGCTCAAGGTATCGCGCTCGTCATGAGCCGGTATCTGTTGTTGGTGTTGTGTCAATCCAAAGCAGGCAGCGACACCAGGAAAGAAGTGCTGTGCCACATACTCACGTGCAAAGTGGGGTCAACCCACAACAACCCATACCGAATACGGAAGCCACCCAGCCTCATCACGCAGGCGTTTCCGAGGCCATCATCGTGAAATGTAAATATCTTCATTACTTAATATCGCGAAACCAACAAAACCAGCCAAACCAAAGCCGCAAACGAATGCATACCCAAATCTAACAAAACGCCCATTGCTCATTGCAAATGCCAAAAAAAGACCCCAACCAAAACCCACCACCACATCTACCGAGCGTATTTCATCGGATAGCATTAAACTCGTATATCAGGATATTCGCGAAACCACCATTTTGAACGCCGTAACAGATAAATGCATACTCCACATATCCCATTTCCCGTCGCTCATCGTCATCATTAGTACAATGATCGTCGCTTCAGCTTGTTCCTGCGATCTATTAGTATGACATCATTTGCGTTGTGAAAAGAAGAAACTTACGTAGCACCCCAACTCAACCGACTCTTCGACTTCGCCGCTGCCTCAGGCCCCATCGCGGACCTCGGCCTCTCCTTCTCCTGTTCCTTCTCCTTCTCCTTCACCTCCTCCTTCTGCGCCGCACCCGCTTCCGGACCCGTCGCATTCGCAGTAACAGCGTAGTAACGAGGTGTAGTCGGTGTGTTGCGTCGCGGGTTCGGAGGACGCACGTTGGTGGGAAGAGGCGATGTCAATGGTGTATCGGCGGCTTGGGAGCCGACGGGTTTGGATGGAATGGCTGATGCGGCGGTAGAAGGACGGATGGACATGTTCTTGTCTTTGGGTGCGAGGACGCGGCGCAGTTTGGATTCTTCGCGCTTGGGAAGGGCTTCTGGAGCTGGTGTCGCGGAATCGGTGGTTGGCTGCTCGGGCTCTTGGGTCTTGCGGACGATCTTCTGCATCATGACTTTCAGGCCGAGACTCCTCCTGCGGTTGGTCTTGAGTTCTCTCAGTTCGGCGGGCGGGACGTCGTGCGACATCAGACTCCAGCGGTTTGGCGTTTCCTTCGGCGAGCTCTTGCTGCGGAGATGGCGTTGGGGAGTCTCTTGGATGCTGCCTTC